TTTCACGATTACTTTCCATGTGCTTGTCAAGTATCTTTCCCCAGGTAACTGCGAGGCGAATCCTAAATTCCAGCCTGTAGCGTCGGGGGGCGACGGCGCCACAGTGCAATACTGGTATGTCGGTTACGACGCCGATATTGACACCATCATTGTGGGCCACCAAGGAACTGATATAGCTAAACTGTCTGTATTGTTTTCACATACGCGTTTATCACTCTAGACTAAAAACGGCATCTTCCACAGGTTGCCCGTAGTCACCGACGTTGTTTTCCTTTTGTCCCCGCTCGATGCTACTCTCTTTCCTAACGTCAGCTCCGGTGTCCTGGTTCACAGCGGTTTCAAGCAGGCTCACGCCAAGTGAGTGTTTGTCTTTAACAAAACTCGGTTCCGATTTCAGAGCTAAAAATATCTAGCACGGCGACAGTCGTTCTCGCGGCCGTGACGAAAGCCATGTCGACTTATTCGACGAATACTATTACCGTCGTTGGACATTCCCTCGGAGCTGCAATCGCCCTACTCGACGGTGTTTTTCTTCACTTGCAGCTTCCGTCAGCATCTGTATCCGTAAAGGGCTACGGAATGCCTCGAGTGGGTATTTTTACTCGTGTTCGTGACATGCATCTTCACGGGTGATATACAGGTGGGAAACCCGCAATTTGCGGATTACGTTGATCAGCATCTGCCTGTCTCTCACGTTAACAATAAGTGCGTTACTCTGCTCAATCGTTCTGCCGCGGAGCCCTCAGCTAATGATACATTAGGAAGGACTTCGTTCCAATTCTTCCTGGTAAGTGACTGGTAAATTCGAAAAATGTAATGGCGGACTCAAATGTCTCAGAACGATTCTTGGGCTTCGCACATTGTTCCGGAGAGAAGCATATTAATGACTCCAGCGTGTGGATAAACTGTCCAGGTAAAAAAAAAGTGCAAGTTATTCGCATCAGAAAGCTGACTCGGCGACAGGCCAAGACAATGAGAGCAATCAGTGCGTCGTCGGCGAAGTCCCTACCATATTGTTAGGCAATGCCGGTGATCATGACGGTACGTTCTTTTGCAGTAGCCTTCGTCTTGAACTTAATCTGTCCTCTAGGTCCTTACGACGGGGTCATGATAGGATGTTGACACGAACAATGCCGGTTGCGCTTATTGTTATTTAAATATAAGACGGATTTAAACCATGATCTCATCGCTTGATTGCCGATGCTCTCCTTTCACGCGGCTGTCAGTCCTAACAAGGATTTCCTTTTCATCTTCCTCTTTCCGGGTATTTTGATGTGCGGTTTTGCTTCACAAACTAGACCAGGGCGGGGGATGCGCGCTTGCGCAAGTCGGTCACGACTCGTAATCGATACCCGTACCTCAGTAACCTTGTTCGGAACAATCTGATCGTCGGAAGCTGTATGTAGAGCCTTTTCCTCATGAAGTTCAACGGTGACCCTTGCATCTTAAAGAACATTGCTAAAATGATGCATCACACCCTGACCATCCTCCAATGAACTGCTTTTGGCCATCATAGGTGTTTCCGATGAAGGCTCTATAACAACCGCTCATTTGGCCGCAATGAATTTCGCTCGACTCACTTTACTATATCATGACAAGGCTAATTCTTCTCGGTAGTAGGGGCCATATGCGCTGTCTCCTCAAATCCGGACGCAATCTATAAATATCTCCTCTCCTTTCGATTTACTACTCACTAAGTGTTAAGGTTCGAGAATTCATGTACTTGCGCCTTCTGTCGGTTGCTGTCACTCCGTAGACATCTTCACATTCGTTGCTTGCCAAGTTCCGGCTCTCCTCCCGGTCACTGCGGGAGCTATATTCGATTTTACCGAGACCGGCACTGCACATAACAGCAGCAGTGTTCGTGGCCCACGGCACTGATGCTACACTATGTCAAACCACGAACCGTTCGTCCTTCATGCAAGTTTCTGTTTCGTAAACTACATTCACATTTTTCTGCTACAATGACCCATCAATACAGGAAGTCCTAAACGAAGAAAGAAACCGAGAAAACCTATACTCGAACGCACAGGGGATCATCAACAATCAAACCCCACCTGGTTGCAGTGAGCAATAGGTGATAAGGTACGACGGCTTCGTTGGCAGTCTAATATCTGTTTCGGTGCTAAGCAGATGGTTGAAAACAACTCATAAATCCGGGTGTACAGCAGTCTGGACGTTATCTCCGGCTATTTGAGGCTCGTATCACGAAGACTTTATGGGAAATATGTTCCCAGCTACCACCCCTTGAGTTGTGAAGAGCCGGCATTCCAGTCCCAAGTCCGGCCTAGCTCATTTCAGCGCAGCCCAGAAGATCTCGGCCTTGTGGTAAGGTTTCCTCAAAGCTCGAACTATGAGCTTTAACCTGCACAAGCCTGCCCGCTCGGCCCGGGCATTCTACAGCACTATGTTCAAAATTACATTGAAAATACAGCTCCCCGGCCTTTTCATACCGGACTAAAGGCCCCTTCAATGGCATAAACCTGATTGGTGTGAATCGTGTATTGACGACAGCTATGGCAGAACAACCCCAGACTGAGATCTTTTCTGTCCCAAGATGTCGAACAACACTCGTAACGAACGCCGTTCTCATATCCCTCTTCTTGAACACCCTCATCGTTATCTCGAGCATAGCTCTTCCCGATTATGGTCCCCTCGCTCTTTGGTTTAACACAAGCACCGCCGTCCTGACATACACTCATCACTTCGCGGTCCTTTACCTCGATAGGAAATACCAGCTTACGCCGAAGAAATCTCCTGTGGTGTCCACCTTATGGTGCATCATAATCCTGTTCCTCATCGGGGCGTCATGGCTGGTCGCCATCACATTCGACCTTCTCTTCGGATTGAAATACTTCCAGCGGCCGGCGGTGCAGACGTTCGGATATGTCGTGGGGTTCCTTTCGACACTTGTCGAAGCGGGGTTCATCTTCTTCTTGGGATGTACATGTATTTCGGAGAGAAAGCATGCCCAACGGGAGTATGAAGGGTCTCCATCCAACGAACGCTGGTGAGTGAGCACATTTTCGCCGGCACTATCCCAAATTGAAGGAAATTTTTACGTGGAGGTTGACCATGGCGAAGTAAAATTCCTGTGATATGATGATTAGACGAAAATTCTATGACGACTTCTCTCAATAATGAGGTGATCATGCTGGTTGTCTATCAAAATCTTACCGCACATACACGCTATTCTCATTAGGGAGGTGTACCCTCTTTGTAGCTATGATCCTGAAAGGAATAACATTCATAGTCAGGGATCAGGAGTCGGCTTGAAACACTCGACGCTTAGACAACCATCTCACTAAGTTGCACATTAAGCTTAACACGAAGCAAATGTAGACGTACCAGTACTGTCATAGACTTGAATTCCCTTATTGTGTCCAAAGATATGCAGGAAAGCGAAGACATGAGCATATTGGAGCGATAAGTAACGGAACTCGAAGTTGGCATCGAAGATTCAGATTATCTGGAAGAATCAAACCACGCTCCGTCCGTCCTTTACGCTAGTCACCGTTTCGATGAGCTACATTCATATTCATATTCTGCTGCTACAGCAGTCCATCGCTCTGGGAAATCTCGGATTAGAAAAGGTACCGGGACTGGAGCGCAGGGAATCTTTAATATCAAACACTACCTGGTTGCAGTGAGTACTACTAGGTAATGAGGTTTATCCGTTTGTTGACAGTCTAATAGTTGTTTTCAGCGCTATTTAGATGATTGAAAAACAGCCCATAATTCAAGGTATACAACAGCCTGGGCGTTATCTCCGGTTATTTCAGGCTTGTATCATGATGACATGAGGGGATATATATTCCCACCTGCTACACTTATCGCTCGACCTAGCCCGGCCTAGCTTGGTCCAGAAAAGTCTGGCCAGACAATGAGGCTTGCTCAAGTCTCGGGTTGTGAGCTTACTATGAGTTTGATCCTGCTACCCCGGCCCGGCCGGATGGTCGCGGTAGTACTTGTGTTTAAAAATACGGGTCTTTAGCGTTCTCACACCGGAGTGAAGGCCCATTTAATGGTTGTTGGAGATATCGGCGAGAAGCCATGAGAAGATGATAGAAGGTTCAAGCCGGCATGATGCCGGGTGAGCTTTAGTCAGATAGTTACTGTTTACGGATGTTTTTGGTAGAACTTTCTAGATACTTTCGTAGTATAAATATTGGCTCTGTAGGAGCCAGAGAATAAAGTTCATTAGTCTGGCTTTACCAGCCACTAGTCTACCCACTGCAAAACCTAATATTCTGACAATGGTATAAAACAAGTTGGCATAGGTCATGCCTTGATGACAGCCATGGCAGAAAAACCCCAGACTGAAATATTATCCACCCCAGGATATTGTACAACACTCAAAACAATCGTTCCCATATCCCTTCTCCTGAACTCCCTCATTGTTCTCTTGAACATAACCCTTCCTGATCATGTCGCAAATACTCTTTGGATTTGCCAAAGTGCCTCTGTTCTCACATATACTCATCACTACACCATCCTTTTACTCGGCAACAAATACCAATGTTTGTCGAAGAAATTTCCCGTGATGACTACTTTATGGTGCATCATAACCCTGTTTCTCATCTGGGTGATATGGCTGGCTGCCATCACATTCATGTTTTTCATCGTCTTGGGATACACTGGCTGGCATTGGCTGCTGGGGGTGCAGGGGTGGAACCCAGGCCATAGCTGCATCAGGAAAAACCTACTTTGCTACGTCGAGCTATGTCGACTATGTAGCCCTGGTAGCACGGTAGCACAGTCCCCCATATGTAGTCCCCGGTAGCGCTCACCTAAGAGTACGTAGCAGTCTGTAGCATGCTGTATCGTAGACTATTTGCTACCGCATCGCTATCATATCATCAATGTATATATACTATATTGATATCATACTTGTATCATACTGATATATACCTTGAAGTAATGCTCGCAGTCACTGCTTAATGCACTAATGAGAGGTTGCTTGAATGGTTTTATTGCATAGTCAGTCATACATAAGTACATCAGCCTGACTCGGACACAGTCTGAGATCCACCAATTGCAGCGCCACTTCCGCCATTTGCAGTGGGTTCCTCCTCTCTGTCATCTCCATCCTCCTCCTCCTCCTCCTCACTATCAGTCTCTCCAGTCTGATTCTCCATATCCTTCTTAGCGTGCATGATGGCATCCTCATTCATATGATCTGCAGTGACAACTCTATTAGCTGCACCGGTATTCTTTCTGTATCAGATGTTATCAGCATGATCATCGTCAAAGCAAAGGGGTACTCACCGAGCTCAGTTATGCCACTTCTTGTGGATGTTGGTTGTAACCTTGGTATTGGCGCTGGTCCAGTCCTTGACATTCTTTAAGAAATTCACATAACGGCCTTTATCTTCACTCTCATTTAAGGTCCCTTGAATGTACGACCCAGTTGACCACTCTTCAAGGCAAAATTCAATCTAGGATATTCATCAGCCCTGAACGAAAGGAGAAAAACCAAACATGAACTGCCATCAGAATAAGTGCAAGTGATACATTTGGAATGGGGTCGAAGTAATCAGAATACTTCACCCCAAAGTCCTTGGTATTCTTGAACCAGGCAGCACAGATAGAGGAAAATATAAGCTTGTGCTCATAGGCACGACTTAGCATAGATATATCCTGAGACGTGCATTAGCTTCAAGCATGAGAAAGAGAAATCAAAGTGCTTACCTTGTAGTGAAAAGCTGCATCCATGGTGAGAAGTACATACTTATCCTTATTCTTTGCAATGGTACTCTTCTTATCTGGAGACGTGAGGCCAAAGGCTGGCATGATGAGAGGTCGAATACGGTCCTTGAGCTGGCCATGTGCTTGTGTGCCACGCTTCTGCATCTAGAATGCTGTGAACAAGGGCTTGACATTGTAGGTTGTACATACCATGGTTGCCATTGGCATCGTTAGCTCATATGAGTCCTCATAATCTTCACAGATCTCAGCCCAAACCTGTTCAGCCATTTCATGAGATTTGGTGCCATCTGGAAAAGGTTCAACTGTATATAAACAAGCTTCATAGCGCTGAATGGCCTCATGAAGCATGGCATGACATTTCCCTTCATAATCTTGGAGGTTCTTGCCTTTAGTATTCTTGACCAGAGTTGGTGGTGGAAGTCGTTGTCGCTTAGGGTCTGGAGATGGAGCATGGCTGTTGGCACTGTGAGGGTGTTTGCCAGATTGGGTGACTACGGTGTTTGCATTGCTCTGAGGCTGAGCTTCTAGATCAGTTTCGTCTTTGTCAGAATTGAGTAGATAATCAACAAGCTCATTGGTGGGAGTTGTCAACAGAGGTGGCATTGGACTGGGACTGGCTGGTCAGCTGGATGACTCCGGTGTAGGTGGCGGACGTGGATCGCCTCATCGGCGTAAGGTCTTAGGCGCATCAATTGGAACGACGCCTTTCATTCTGATCTAGAAGGGATTAGATCAGAATCAGCCAATAACAAACTAAAGAACGTGCCGCTGATGCAAAGATCATATTAGATTCTTCGTCATCTTCATCTTCGCTCTCCAGGAAGAGTCTGGACCGACCATTATGCTTAGAAGCATAGTTGTCATCCAGTTCCTGCTCAAGGTTTTCCAGATGTTCTAAAGAATGATAGTCAAGACTGAATACATTATCGCACAGAGGCACTGACCATTGGTCTTATCAAGGAGAACCCCTTGCTTTTGTAGAGCTTTCTCCTTCTGCACCAGTAGCCTCTTCAACTTTGCAATCTCCATTTCCTCAGCATTGGTATCTATGAAAGAGGTGAGTAAAGACACAGCAGAACAAAAAGAATATTGGAACCAAGCTGTTTTTGCTTCGCAGAGACAGCGCAATTCTCTTGAGTGACTGGACACGTAGATTGCGCTGGTATCTTCCTACCCTGAGCAGGTGCAGCAGGCTTGGTGGATCTCTTCACAATTTTTGAGGAGTTCATACTGGAGAGACAGGCAAGGACAGATGGTAATGGTGGTGGTTGAAACAAAGGATGCTGTGTAAAATTGCCAATGAATTAGAGTCAACAAAAAAAACGTGACCAGCCAACTGACTCAGCGCACAATGATGAGCCTCAAGGCTTGGTATGCTCAGAATTCGCAGATTTTAGCATTAGAATAAATGCCTTGTCCACTTAGTGGACTTTCACTAAGTCAACGATTGCAATCATGGCAATACCCACTCTTACCGCCAACTATCCATCCCAACTCGTATTCCGTATCAATATGCGCCACTTCATTAATGCTGCCAGGCACCTGATTGCAGATCTCATAGATTTAGGACCATCATTGATTGCCCAGCACAGCCATCAATGACATCAGCATCAAGCATCATTTAGAAGAATGCCACAGTCAAAGTACCAACTCCATGGCAAAAGACCTAATACCGTGACCTTTCCACTCACTTTACTAAGGCTGTTACAATGCCAAGACAATGCTGCATGCATCTACTTCAGTGTACTACCTTCAGTGTACTTTGCCGCAGCAACACAGCAGCCCAAGAGTCCATATGTCGGCGGGATTCTTTCTGATCACTAAGTCTATACGCAGTAAAACCATGTGGGTGCTGTTACTTTAGAACTCTGGGAGCACGCGTTTTGTATTATTTCTTACCAATCGATGTACTAAGGACTTACTAAGGACTCGTTTCAAGTATTCTAATTTTATTCCGGACTTGTAGTATAAAAGCTAGTGTAGTAGTAGTTGCTAGACAAGTTACTGGACACTAGCCATCATCCACGTTATCAACCACCGTTATCGCTTGTACTCGCTAGGAGATAGACAATAACAACATAGTCACTCCAAGTTATACTCTCTGTCACGGCTTTTCTTCTAACGGTATTGGTGTATGCTCATATTGCACCAATACATGGAATTTGGTGTCCACAACTCGCTTTTGTCTTTTAATCCGCCAGCATCGTTTCACTTTCACCAGCCAGGATCATTTTCATCAGTTTTCACCTTCTACGTCGCCATCGTTTTACCCAGTTCAGTTCAGGATTGTTACGTCCCTGTGTGGACTCAGATTAGGATCGTTATTGCTGCCAGCAGCATCTGTCACGGAATTTTGGTCAACAGCTTCAGTATAGGATCATCAGTCATGGTATTTGGTATCTTGCTGTCAGTTTCAGTATAGGATAGTCTCCGTGTAGACTCAGGATTAGTATCAGTTTTGTTTTGCCGTCGTTAACCTCAGTGTAGTTTCAGTTTCAGTCCAGCCCAGTCCCAGCCATCGTTTTGCCATCGCTAGTTCCCTCCCATATCATCGCCAGCCAGTCTTATCTTCGTTTTACTGCCAGTTTCTTGTTTCTCGACTACAGTCTTCGTCTCTTGCCGTCACGGTATTTGTTATCTTGCCAACGGTATTCCTCTTCGACGGCATTTTCTCTAATTTCATCAACATCGCCCATGGCTTTTACTAGCTAAATTGCCGTCACCTCGTTCACGGTTTGCCGGTATTCCCAGTTATACCGGATTCCATTCCTTCTTGTCTATCGAGACCCTTCCCAGCTTACAGCCAACATTTTCTAGTACTTGATCGTTAAGGGTACTACTTCGCTGACTGAAAAGTCGCAGTGTATACTTGCGTTCTTGAGGAATTCATCGCACGGAGGTGCACCGAAACACTCGCACAACAACAAAGCCTTTATTGCTGCTACATGCCATTTGCTGTGAACTCCTCTAGAGTTTTGGTTTTTGCCGTTGCCACGGAAGTTTAGGCTCATCAACAATAACGCGATAGCACGTTTGACAGCCACGGTGCTCCCGACTCCTAAGTCACTGTTTGCTCCCTGAGTCCATAATGGCATCCACTCTATTCAAGTGCCGCTTTTGCACCTTCAAGACTAGGCATAACAGAGGGTTATCATTGCATTACTTGCAAATGCAGTGTGGTATGAAGCTTGCGGAGAGCTCCAAACGTAGCCCTATTAAAAAAAGAGTCAGACAAGCCATCGGAGAGCCATGTGAATCCTCACCTGCCGACTCCACTGACTCTAATGTTGATGCCGACGATGCTCCAAACATGCCATACTTCTCTCACCATACCGAGCCTGAAATTCCAGCCCCACCGTCACCGAAGAGGGTCCATATTGAGGACGTTGAGGATGAAGGTGACAACCCCAATGGCCCTGAATGATGGGTTGAATACTTTCCTGCTCCCGCTGGAGAGCCTATTCATTCCCAGGGATCCCAGGAGACAACATTTGAGTGCCTCCGACAGGAGAAAACAGAGAAGGGGGAAGAGATGTAGGCACCCTTTGAAAGTTGAGATGAATGGGACCTGGTACGATGGCTGATGAAGGTGGGGGTTAGCCAGTCCGAAATGGAGAAGCTTTTACAACTTGGAGTGGTGTGTACCTTTCTTTCTTACAGGCCAATTCAGTTTTGAATATACTTCGCAGATCAAAGAGTTGCTCCAGCCATCTTTTGAGAATAAGCGCAAGCTCTTTCAGCGCATTGACTCCCTTCCAACTGGCCCTGAGTGAGAGTGTGAGGTTTTCATGTTGACAGGAGATGAGAAAGATGAGGATGGCAAGCTAAGGACAGAAGAGGTGGAGCTGTGGAAACAACATCCCATGGAGTGTATACGGGAGCTCATGGGAAACTCTTGTTTTGCCCAGCATATGGAATACACTCCTGAGTGGGTGTATACAGATGAGGACGGGCGGTCACGGGTGTATAGTGAGATGTCGATGGCAGACTGGTGGTGGGCGACACAGGTAAGCTCTAAACATTGCCGTCATGAGAATGTCTCTTATAAAGTGGTGACAGAAACTCTTACCTAAAGGAGCCACCATTGCTGTTGTCATTCTTGCTACCGATAAGACACAGCTTTCCAGATTCAGTGGTGACAAGCAGGCATGGCCGGTGTACCTGACCATTGGGAATATTAATAAAGACATCAGACGAAAGCCTTCGGAGCATGCAACAGTTTTGATTGGGTACTTACCCATTAGCAAACTTGAATGTTTCAGCAAAAAAACCCGGTCAACGCAGTCATACCAGCTCTTTCACACATGCATGTGCTCACTTCTGGACCCATTGGTTGAGGCTGGAAAGAACAGTGTCAAGATGCTTTGTGCAGATGGGAAGATGAGGATGGTGTATCCCCTTCTAGCTGCTTATGTTGCAGATTACCCGGAACAATGCCTTGTCGGATGTTGTATGGAAAACCGTTGCCCGAAATGCATGTCGAAATCAGAATTGCTTGGTGATCCTGTCCATTCCGTCCTTCGAGACCCTGAAAAAACAATCAGAATCCTCAAGCAAACTTCAGACGGCCACAAACTGCAGGTGTTTACTGACCAAGGACTCTGTGCAGTCAATCCCTTCTGGAGAAATTTGCCTCACTGCAACATCTTCAATTGCTTCACCCCCGACATTCTGCACCAGCTTCATAAAGGTGTGTTCAAGGATCATGTTGTCAGCTGGTCAACAGAAGCAGTTGATGCGGACAAGCCGAAGGAAGAACTCAACTTTCGCTTCAGGGCCATGACATGTCACCCTAGTTTGCACCATTTTAAGAAGGGGATATCACTTGTGACACAGTGGACAGGAAATGAGTATAAGAATATGGAGAAGGTCTTCTTGTCAGTTCTTGACAGTTTGGCACAGAACGAGGTCATTGAGTGTGTGCAGTTGGTCCTTGATTTCATCTATTATGCGCACTTTGAGGAGCATACAGATGAGTCTTTGTCCAAATTAGACGAAGCCTGGCATACCTTTCATGACAAGAAGGAAATATTCATTGACCTAGACATCCGACAACACTTTAACATCCCAAAAGTCCACTCTACAATGCACTACGCCTCAATGATACGGTCCCATGGTACAGCTGATGGTTTCAATACTGAAGCCTCTGAACGTTTGCACATCGATTTCGCAAAGGTCGCATACAACGCATCAAATAAGAAGGATTATGTCAAGCAGATGACGACGTGGCTGAGAAGATGAGAGGCAGTGGATAATTTTGATAGGTTCTTGGACTGGGCAGTAGAAGAATGTGATGAGCTGGAAAATGATGAGGTTGAGGGAGAAGATGAAGATGAAGACGACGTTGAAGCCATGGGTACAGAAGCTGAGGCTGTGCTGGCCAGCCGGACCAATAGCCCTGTGACCTCTGCTTCCACTGCCAACAACGATGAATCCTACGAGTCAGACATCGTCAGAGTGGCTGACACTCTGCAATATGGGGAGTCTACCTACTCTGTGCCGAAATTCCCTTCATTCAAGAACATCAATCTGGATACTTTGGACAAGAAATATGGTGTGACCGAGTTTGTTTATGCCCTTGAATCTTTCCTTCATCGCCATGGCATGTATCGCCCCGATTTTTGGGATGCATGGCCAGCCAAGTACAAAGTCTTCAAACGATGCCAGATGTACATACCACCAACACCAGAAGTTTCGAAGCTGGTGACGATTGATCCCATTAGAGTGAGCCCAATGGTGCCTGTGAGCAGTCGCAATAAGGAGGTTCCTGCCCAGTTTGATACAGTGCTTGCGTGGAAGGAATTGCCCCAGGTTGGAACACATCTGGACTTGCTAGGGAGTAAAGGTGTGTCTGTTTCCTTCTTAAAGCTCTTCTACCCTAATTTTGAGAATACAGGACTTCACATAGGCCAGGTTCGTGTGATATTTAACCTACCTGAACAACTCAGTATCTTTCCTCATCCCCTTGCTTATATTGAGTGGTTCACACCGCTTCATAAGCTCGATGATTGTGTCAGAATATTTAAAGTCCAATGCTCCACTCATGGTAGTCAATGGCTGAAGGCGTCTATTATCCCAGTGACATATATATCCCGGAGCTGCCAGCTCACTCCGTATTTTGGCTGCTCAATGGATCATACTTGGTCTTCTGATAATGTTCTCAATGTATGCCAATCCTTTCATGTCAACAGTTATCTTCGACATATTGACTTTGTCCTTCTCCGTTACAAATGTCATGTTAGCTAACATATGCTGTATGTATTATAGCTATAATATCAATATTAACCCCATTGTCATTGCTGGAAAATGTCGTCGAAAGACAACGTCAAGCTTGTGATATATGGGTACCTATGTACCTTGTGGTCTGCGCTACTGATCGCTACATACTGCTACCTACTGTGACGCTTCTGCTACAGCCACTACTGGCACTATGTAGGCCACAGCAGGAAATACATAGCCAATGTGTTTTTCCTGATGTGGGAACACTGAACACGTGCAACAGAATAAGAATCAACTCTGTTGTGGTATGAACAAGAACGTAACTAGTCAAGAAGGTAAGTGATCTTGATCTGTTCAAGATCTGTGGAAGTATCTAATGGTCTAGGTAAATAGCAGTACATAATGCATAATCCGTATGGGTTACACCCACCCATACTTCAAAAATTTGCTCTGTCATCTCAGGTTTTCCTCAAGCCAATGATTGAGAGCCTCGTTGTCTTCTAGTTCTGCACCTGGCAACCATTCATCCTCCTCAGGCCCATAACCCACATAACGCACCAGATACCGCCATCCCCTACCCCAGTGTCGAGCATCCACGATTTTCTCAACCGCATACTCTTCTGCTCCTTCGGGGCTGATAATTGGTCCCGGTCTAGGATGTTCACGATTTGGGAAAAGTTCAGAGTCATTCGGATGGTACGGCTTGAGAAGTGAAGCATGGAAGGTCAGATGAATGCTGGAGGAGGGTATATTCAGTGTGTACATGGAAGTTGTAGGGTTTGTGTCGAGGACCATGAAGGGGCTGTCAAATCTTGGCATGAATTTAGCACATCGCTTTGAACCTCAGTGGGCATACTCCTGTCTTCAGTTTGTAGTGGACAACATTACATGGTCACCAATCTTGTATATGATTTTGGGCGCTCTTGATCTATTAGCAAAGTGGGACTGCTCAATTTTGGCAGTCAATAGGGAGTCAGCGGCTTCCTTAATATCGAGGTCGAGGTTTTGCACAAAAGCCTTAGCATCAAAGGGAACATCAACACCTGGTCATGCGACCAGAGGTGGGATTATGCATGGCAAACAACCTGTTTTTAACTGAAATGGTGAGAACCCAGTGGAAGCATTAACAGTGTTCATAATAGTGAATTGTACGAGAGGGAGCTTGGCACACCAGCCCTTCTGATTCTGGTCAACATAGAAATGGAGCGCCTGCACGATGGTTTTGTTAGACCTCTCCGAGGCACCATCAGTCTGGGGGTGCCATGCAGTCGACATCTTGTGCTTGATTCCGGATAATCTAGTGAATGCCTTCCAAAATTTGGATACGAAGAGTTTATCATGGTTGCTGATTATTTCTGCAGGCATCCCATTCTTGCAGTACCAATGGTCAAAGAACACATGTGCAAAATCCTCTGCAGTGTTGGTTGTTTTCCAAGGTGCAATCTGGATGTCCGCACCCAGGTGATCAGTCATCGTCACAATACCGTCCACATTGCCATCAGATGGCAAGGGCCCAATGAAATCAATTGCAATGGAATCAAAGCGAGCATCAGGGATAGGCAGTGAATGCAGGGGTCCATTGACTTTGCTTGTTTGAGACTTGTTGCGCTGGCACGATGAGCAGGAGAGAACATAGGATTCCAGGAGGTCCTTTCTCATTCCAGGCCAATAATAGGAATTCCTGATCACTGCATATGACTTATCCCCTCCAAAATGCCTGAGAGCATCATATGCCAGTGTGAACAGCTGTTCAGGGATGCCATCCGAGCAAGGGATGATGAGCCAGTCTCCCAGGTAGACCAGGCCATCCGTTAACATCACATTCAAGGGTGCTAACCCGTTCTCTATATCAGACACCAGTCTGGAACAGAATGGATCCACTACATAGCCGAGTCTGATCTTGCACAAGATCTTGGGGTCAGACTGGACAGTGAACACAGCAGCGAAGTCCGAAGGGAAATCGGAAGGTTCATCGTTGACCAGCATCCTAGACAAGGCATCTGCAATGGTGTTGTCCTCCCCTTTTACATAGTGCAACGTGTACTCGTATTGAGCCAAGAATTCCATCCAGTGAGCCTGGCATCTAGACAGGTCAGCTTGTGTGTCAAAATTTTGCAACATCTTGTGGTTGGTGAAAATATGAATGTGTGTACCCAGAAGGTCCACACGCCAATGCTTGAGCACCTGAATGATAGCGAGGAGCTCCTGCTCATGTGTCAGGTAGTTCAACTGTGCCCCTTTGAAGGCCACTGAGTCAAAAGCCACTGGACAAGTGGTCTCCCAAGTCTTTTCATAACTGAGAACAGCACCTGTGTGACGTTTGCTCACATTGCAGGTCACGAAAATCTTATTGTTGCTCGGGTTCTCATGGTCGATGACTGTGAGGCATTCCGTGCCCACCACCAGCCTTTTGATAGCATCGAAGGCAGCCTGGTGCTCGCCCTTCCATGTTGAGAACATGCGGTCACAGTGTTTTTTGGTCAACAGAGTCAGGACAGATGTGTATTCTGCAAGTTTGGGTAGGAAATTGGCAACGTATCTGACCAGGCCTAGGAATTGTCATACATGTTTCACTGAGTGAGGTCTTGGCCAATTCTGGATCTTCACAACTTTGGAAGCATCAGGTTCAATCCCTCGCCTCGAAATGTGGTGCCCCAGGAAGTCAACCTCCATTAGGAACAAGGATGTCTTCTTTGGTGAACAATACAACTGTGCCTCCTTCAGCATGTTCAGCACTGTGTCCACATTGTGGCAGTGTTCCTCTAATGAAGCTGACCAAATAATGATGTTGTCCAGGTAGACGTGGCAGATCTTTCCGATGAATGGACGTAGAGCCAACGTAACATGTCATTGGTGAGTAGCTGGAGAGTTGCGCAAACCCATTGGCATCACTACCCATTCCCACAGCCCAAATGGTGTGAGTGTAGCCGTGTATTTCACATCATCCAGACATACCAAAGTCTGGAAGAATGAGTTCATCATATCGATTTTTCCCCAGTATCTACCCTTGCCACAGTCAGCAAGGATATTGCTAATCAAGGACATCAGGTAATTGTCCGGAATCATTGCAGCATTTATCAAGCAGAAATCATTAACCCAACATGGAAGTACAGTGGGGTCCACCTTAGGAATTATGAATGATGGCGAAGCATATTCTGAAGAAGAGGGTTGGATTCTCCCTGCTTGTTCATGCTGATCAATAAGGGTCTTCCAGGCCTCATGATACTTCCGAGGACAAGAGTATGGCCTAGAAACAGATATCTTCATATGAGGACACATCAAGATCTGGTGGTAGACGGTTGTAGGCAGTTCAGTTACATGGGGAAGTTCGGTCAGGAATCTATCTGCAAATCTGGTCTTAGCTTTGGTATCTAGTGAGCTCAACTTCTCTTCCTCTGCCAGGGAAGAGATCCTCGTGTGCAGGGCAGTGACCCTGCAAGGTAGGTCACATTCTGATGTAAAGGGATGCATCCTTTCATGCAAGCCTGAGGAGACAAACAACGATTCCAGCTCACGGAGCAAAGGTGCACATGTAACTCAGAGAGCCTTCCTGATGGCCAGGATCTCCTTATTTGCATGTTTACATTCCTCCATGGCTGTTAAGCGAGCTTCTCATGGGGACATGGAGGGGACCATTGATGTCTTTAAAGGGTGTCTTGAATCCAAGAGGTTGATGTCAGACCCAGCGGCGAATGCAGAACGGCTTCCATGGTCAATGAATACATTATTATGGTACAGAAAGGGTGCACCTAAGACAAGGTTGCAGTGGAGAGTAGGACAAATCACGGTGAATATTCTATGGGAAGTCCAAGAATTCTTGCTAATCCTGAAGCGTACACATTTATTGAGGGTCTGAGCGGTGGAGGAATCCAGTATTGAAGAGAAAGGAATTGGTCTTGTCAATTTGCATTGTTTCAAAGCTAGTCGGACGGCGAACTCGGCACTAATCAAAACTGTGGGGGAACCATGGTCAATAAGCGCCTGCACAGGTACTGCAGAAGATAAGGCAGGGGAGGAAATTTCACCTTCCATCCACAGATGGGGCATCGTAAGAAAGGGTTCAAGAGAGGGATCGACATACTCAATGCCAGCAGAGGCATCCAAAGAATCCCCAATCATATTCTCGTCATCAGAAAGAGCAGAAGACTCCCTGACAAGCACGAATACCAGCTATGAAGGTCTTTTTCTGTGCTTCATATGCAGCTTTTGCAGCAAGTGCATCAGCCTCAGTGAGTGTCTTGTAGGTGGTAGGGTCAGGATTACCGGTTTTGCAACCGGAGCCAATGTGGTCAATGTAAAACTGATGACATACGAAACAGCCAAGGTGCCTCATCAGCAGCTCCTTCTCCACATCAGTCAGGCATGGAGGGCATCCCTTTGGATTGGACAAGGGTTTGGTGTCAGATGTAGCGGTGGATGAGTCAGGTTGGATGAAGCCATGGTCTGTGCGTGAGTCATCCTGGCCGCCTTATTCGCTGATGTTGCATTGCCCAACGTCTGTGTCATGTTCTCTGCCAATAGCGCCTTGAACAAGTGTTTCCCATGTGAAGCTTCCTTGCGAATATCCTCATCAAGCAAGCGAACCTCCTCGATCCACTTATCGATATCCTTGAGATTGGCAAGCTCCCCTTTATGGTTTGCCTTGAGATACACCTCAGCCAGATCATCATTTATGCACTCCTTGAGATGCAGATGCATGTCATCTGTGTCGAGGTAACTTGCCAGGCCCACCAAATCCTTGTTAGCACTGCAGACCGTTAGCTGGAACTCGAACCAGAGTCGCTTTCCCTGACTGGCATTCCAGGTCTTCTTCACCTGCACAAACCAATTATCCGGCAGCCATTTCTCCTTTAACTGAACCAGGAAAAACTCCCACATCCAATCAATGAGCGGAGCCTCATCCCGAGCAGATTCGAGTTGAATCCAGGATTTCATTGCCAGTCCACATAACATGGGAATGGCCATATGTATGCAGTCCTCAGCCTTGACCTTTTTGTATAAGAAGAAGGACTTGAAGGCTTCCACAAAGTCATTGAGAATATTGATAGTGTACACACCGGGATGTAGAATCGGAGCCTCAGTGCATGAGTTTTGCTCTACTGTAGCAGCTGCAGACATGGTAGAAGCTAGGGGATGGGGACAGGGGTGAGAACATTTGACAAAAGAGTAATCAGAGTCAGAGTTGGAATCAGCAGAATCTGCGTTTGCAGGAATGGCTGGTGCAGCAGGAGGTGCAGGGTCATTATCGGTGTCTGAGAATGAGGGTGAACAACCACCTTGGTTGTCATTGTTGTCTGAAGAGGTCTCGTCATCTGAGAAGGAGTTGTCCTCATCGTCTGTGATGGGGATAAGATCAGGGAGGTCGTCGAAGTCATCCTTGTTGATTTCTTCACTGGGCAGGTCTGCTGAGGTGGCTATATGCATACTGGATGTGGCTATATGCATGCTGATCCGGGTCGGTGACTGGTTGGGTGACCGTGCTGATGCAGCTAGGCGTCTCTCTCTTTCACGTGCTGCGAGATCAATGTGTGGTACAGGCAGAGCAGTGCCTTCTGGCGTCTGGTCTCTGTCGTCAATGTCATTCGTTGAAGGCATCAATGATGGTAGTGAACTCTCTGGGGAAACAGGAATCTCCTCAGAGTCGGGTTGGATAGCACGGTGGGGCAGGGCTCTGAGAATTGGTGCCAGCATGCGTGTAGGTGGTGGTTGATGGTCAAGGGAAGTGGGGTCTCGCGAAATGGGGTGTCCGCCTTTATAGAAAAACTGTTGGCAGGTCAGGAGGGACATATCACAAGCTAGTATCAAGTTCTGGGGATGGTGTCACATGGGTATTGCCATTCATTGGGGACAGAAGTTCTTCGTCGGTGTTCGGCATGCCTTTCCATGTTCAACACAGAAATAGCAGTCATTGGGACAGAAAGTACAGAGTTGAACAGTATTCAAAAAAAAGTGGAACCCAGGCCATAGCTGGGAACACTGAACATGTGCAACAGAATAGGAATCAACTCTGTTGCGGTACGAACAAGAATGTAACTAGTCAAGAAGGTAAGTGATCTTGATCTGTTTGAGATCCATGGAAGTATCTAATGGTCTAGGTAAATAGCAGTACATAATACATAATCCGTATGGGTTACAAGGGGTTCAGATACATCGCAGAGCTGATGTTGACAGTTATCGAAGCAGACATCATCTTCTTCTTGGGATATGCATGCTTCTGGGAGAGAAAACATGCCAAGAAGGTGTACAACGAGACCCAATTGCAAGATGGTCTACATCTAACAAATACTAGTGAGTGGTCATACTTCTGTCAGCATTATTCAACTAAAGTCAGGGAACCTTTTAGATGGAGGTTGACTGTGGGAGCATGAAACTCGCCCATGACACTATGATTAGACAAAATTCTATACAACTTCTCTCAATAACAATGTGATACTGATTGTTAAAATCCTTAACAGGTATATGTGACTATTCTCATTAGAGAATGGTACTCTCGTCGCCATTGTAGCTATGGTTTTGGAAGGAATAATGCTCGGCATATTCAGAGCTCAAGAGTCAACTTGAAAAAGAGTATGCCATTCCTCCAGCACATCGTAAACCCTCTGTCCTTTTGGTATTGCTTGGATAGCTTCCCATCTTTGATAGTGTCATTTCATTTCTAAGCAGGTGTACATAGCTGATCCTTAATTCTTTGATATCATGATCATCTGCTTTTCATGAGCATTCTCCACTTGGGCTCGGGCTCTGCTTCTGTCGGCGCTAAGCATCAAGTTTTAAAATATACCTGGTGATATATTGGGTGCTAGTTATTATGACTTTACCCCTATTTTCCTTATCTTATCTTATCCTTATCTCTCGGAACCCCAGACCTGCCTATCTTATCTCCCGAACCCATGATATTCTGCCAGCACACTCCTTACCTGTTTACCCAGTTGCCATCACCCCAGTTCACAGCTGCTGCACCCCAGATGACCGACAACCCGCATATGCCATCATGCTTCTCTTGATGGCATCATGCTTCTTAGTAGTTGGATGAGAGTCGACCACCAGTTGAGGGCAGTCTGCGGGATGCAGCCTATTCAGACGGAGTCCCACACAGATGCAGGTGATATGCGCTCTTTACTCTCATTTGTCGGGAGTACACTTCTTTTAGTGTCCTCACTCCTCATTCGTTAAAAGATGCACCTCTCGTTGCATGCACCCTTGTAGATACTATTCTTAGTATGAGTCTAACATGTATTTAAGCTAGCCTATGCTGTGGCCTTAGACCCCAGCTTCGGCTAAGGTTATATACTCCTAACTCTTACAAGCTCCCTGCTTTCGCTATAAAGTGATGCCTAACTTCTTGCAGTCTACCAATGCCTCTCTAACACTGAATCACTGAATGTGAGTGACAGGATAGAGACCAGCCTTGGTTCAGATTAGAGTTAGTGCTTAACAATTAGCCGAAGCTTGCCCTTACTACCCTTACCATTGTCAATGGTAACTGTACCGCTTCAAGACAGTCACTGTTATACTTCCAAAGAAAAGAAACCTTCAGTCCGTTATTTAAAATGGCACCCATCGTACCCTGAGATCATAAACATTCGTTGTGGTACAATGAACTTTATGCCACTCACCCCCTCAGACCGCACCGCCATTATCTTCAGAAGTACCTTCAGTATCTTGACACTACTAACTGCAGTCGCAGTTATCCATATCACCTGACCAACCCGACGCCAGAGAACACCGACCCCTGGAAGAGGGAGAGTACATGGACTCAATGGCTCATCAACAGGAACCTCACGAACAACCAGCACCGTCCGGCTCCGGTCACTCACACCCCGGCCAAGGGGGGAGCGAGACACACTTCGACACCCCCTACCCGACAGAGAAGAGCGACCCTCCCCACTCGAGCTTCAGAGCGAGGATCAGCGAGACAGTGAAGGCGAAGAATCTCTTCGGGAAGAAGACCTCGGACGACTCGGCATCCCTCCAGATGATGGAGATGACCGAGTTGACCCCAGGTTTACCACCGAGTACTGGACCAATACGGACAGGTCCTGGGATGCCATGACCTGGGGCGACAGCAATGACTCCAGGGAGTCAGCAATCTCCTCTACAGAGTTATCAGCAGCCATCCCAGGGTTCGATGATGATGGAGAGCATCTCTATCGAAGAGGAATGAGTGGGTTCTACATCGACGTATTCAACCGAATCGTCCATGGACGAACCAGGCGAAGAACCACCTTCGAAGAGGGTGAAAACCCGTTCCTCCCTGCCTGGGAACGAGGGGAAGTACAGGGAGTACCTGACACAGGAGGACATCGAAGAGATGAATCTCCCGAGCCGGAGTGGCATGACGCTTCAACCTCTCTCATGTCATACACCCCCAATGGAACCTACAGAGTTGAAGGATCCCCGTCCTGGTGGGACAATGAGTCCATTCATGAGTCAGACTTTGTTTGGCCCTCTCCCTGACCCAAATCCGAAGTCCTCCCCCGAACGATTATCACCATCGCTGACCTCAGAGATTTCGCAGAGCCTCGCTTTGCCCATATCTCAGAGGCCTCCACTAACAACACCGCTGGAGTCGGAACCAATGACATCGTATTCACAGAGTACTCCGACAGTAATAATGACGAGCTCCCAGAGTACTACACCCACCCAGGATCCCTGATTAATGAGGGTCAGTGGGTCATCTTCCCAGGAGATACTCCAGAGGGGGACAGGATCCTCGACTGGTTTGCTGGAGACCAACCCTTTCCGAACCCTGTCGTCCTCCCGAACCGCGTCCCGAGGGAGCTTGAGCAAACCCCTCCCCATCCATACCCCTACTGCAATTGTCCCATCTGTCGCCATCTCAGAGCCTTGGCCACAATCGAGTATGAGGGAGCAAAACTCCCTGACAAGCTTGAACCCTTCCTTGCCCCTGAAGGAGGGTTCTTACCTGACAGGTACGATAGAGGTTTCCTCCCTCCCCGAGGGCTATGGCCCTGGATCTGGAGATGTGAAGATGCCCTGGAGATCTGGGATGAGTACTGCCGATACTTCTGGGGAGTATGGCAGTGGAACAATGACTGGAATGCAGGAGATACAATATTCTCCAGATACCAGGTCATCAGTTACCCACCCAATCACGACAACAGGGCAGATCCCTGGACCAGAGCCGGGATGGTCATCGAACAATGGCTCCAGGAGAATGAGCCCAGCCACCCTCCCAGTAGAAGCCCCTCCTATGACCCACCCGAGTTCATCGAGGGATCAAGCACAGGGGCTTACGGATTGACAAATATATGATCTAACATGGCAGCAGATGTCAGAATGGACAAGCTGATGATTGCGGTACAATGTAGAGTGGACCACGTCAGACCAAGGTCAAGCATACAATGCTGCAGAATTAGGTTCCACATTGGAAGACAAGATACTCCGCACTGAAACCTGGTATCATGCCGCCATTGACTGGAACAAAATACACCCCGACCGTCCCGTAGCACCAGGGAGATGCTACGGCGAGGAGTCATTCCCTAACCTGGGAATAGTAGGCCCAGAAAACCTGATCCCTGACATCACCTGGGCACTCTCCAGCACCTTAGGGCTGGAAGCAGCAGGAGGAGGAACCTTCCATGCCCATAGCATGGCCGGAGAGGCCTCCCAGTCAGCGCCAACAGGAAAAACAGGTGAACCAGCACCTGCAGCTCCTGGTGGAGGTGGCGGTGGCCCAGGAGGCCTAGGAGGGGGTGGTGGAGGAGGACCTCCACCTATACCACCTCGACCTCCAGCACAACCACCATCACCCCACAGTGATCAGAATCTCAGGTCACTACCGTGACCTACCAATCCCCCTCTACCACCTGATCCACCAAATGGTTGGGTTATCCCCGACGGACAACCCAACCCTTGGGGAAACGTGAAACCGACGTTGATAGAGGTCCCCGACAAATACCACGGGAAGGCCAGCGACCTAGATCGCTTCTTTAATCACTGTGAATACTACTTTGAGGTCTTCACCCAATACTTTGCACTTAACGAAGCATATGGGTATGGCCCAAGTCAAATAGTCTTCATGGCCCACTGGTTTGGTGGGGAAGCGATGACCTGGTGGGTCCACCAGCAACGACACTACAAGGACCCACATAGCAGGAGACATCGCCTTCCCTCCTGGGAAACCTTCCAGGAAAACGTCCGAACACATTTCAGGGAGGTAGCAGAAGTCCAAATCAAATGGATGCAATGGAAAAAACTGCAGCAAGCACAGTTCAAGACAGCCATCAAATTTTTTGAAAAATTCGAACAACTGGCCGTGGAAGCCGAGCGCTTCCACAACGACGAGGAAATGGAGGAAGTCATCGCCCTCGCAATCTGGCCCAATATCAAACAGATTATCATGGGCGGAGACAATATGTGGCCTACCACCTACTGGGAGTGGAGGTGCAGGGTCCTACAAATGGATGAAAACTACCGAGTTCATCTCGCCCAAGGCGGGAAGTATCCCAGTGGGACCGCTGGTTCCAAGCCTGGAACAGCGGGGGGCTCTTCGAGTGGCTCGAAGGGCAAAAGGGATGTCACTGGATTCGCCTACAGTGGTGAAGGCGAATCTATGGACATCGATCATCTCAAAAGAGAAAAGCGATGTTTCCGGTGCAGACACACCGGACACCAGGGGCGGGACAATAAGTGCCCGCCTGACAAGTCGAAGTGGCTGAAATTCCCAA